AAAAAAAAAAAAAAAAAATACAAGTGCAGTGTAAACTTGATCATGTCAAAAGCACTCCCTCACTTCTGAAGACACTTTAATGACTTGCTTCTACTCTGGTAGCAGAAATCCTGACAAATAATAGGGCTGTTTACTTTTAAAAGGCTCCACCTATCTCCTTAGCCTTCAATCAGATGAATTTTTTCTTCATAATCCACACTTGGTCTTTTTTTTGTTCCTTAAATGAGTCTTCTCTACCTACCAGTGATGCTTAGCACATGCTGTTCCTGCTGCCCACTACCTCCCTCCCCTCATGCTGCAACCACCTTCCACCTAATCACTTCCTACCCTTTTTTAAGATCTCAGCTCAATCTTCATTACTTCCTCTAGGAGGCCTCCACCAAGGAGCCATAATTCTACCAAGTGTATACTCTCAGTCTATCATGTACCTCTCTGAAAAAGGCCTTAGCACAGGTATGACATGAAAACTGTATTGTTCTTTATCACTGCATCCCTGCATTTAGCACAGGACCTGGCCTAGAGCAAATGACTAATAAATATGACTCCTAGTCATGTAAGGCACCCCCATGTGAGCTACTACAAGACCTCACTGAAGGTCCTGGCATCAAGCTGCTTGAAATCAAAAGTCCCAATCCTCCCCTCCCTTACCAGTCATCACCCACATTGAAGGCATTAAGGCTCTTGGTGAAGCCTTGCATATTGGTGGGACTGACTCTCTGCAGGAAGTCAATGTAGTCCTCAGAGTGGAAGCGGCACATGTCATGCTGGGAGGCCTGGTATGGCTTGAAGACCTTGAGATGAAGACACAGGATGAACCAAGGCAGGGCCAGCCCTATGCATAGGGTTGAGCCACCATCACTAAAGCCAGCCCTGGAAACCCACACACACAGCAATTCCCCACCCCTAATCCTTGTTATTCTATGAGACAAAGGTCAACAGAGGTTCCATAGATGATCTTGGTCAGACCCCTAAAGACCATTCTTCCCACCTCCATCCTATCCTCGAACCCTCATCTACCTACCCTATTCCTTGGATGTCCTATTTCTGTTTCTATCCCTACTGTCATCCCCTGGGCTCTGATACTGCCCTTTCTTTTCTGGACTCTTCATTTTGTAGTCAAATACATGGGACATATTACATCCTTCTAATTGAAACCCAAGGGGGTAAACCAAAGACCTGTCATCCTTGAAGTGGAGAGGTTTTACACATTTCTTTGAAAATGGGGAAGAAAGAGTTTTTCTTCTCCTAGAAAATGCACACCTGGACATACAAGGAATTCAACCTGGCTGTGTCTCAACACATACATGCAGGGAGCGTGCATTCATACTGTTGACTCATTCCCCTGCCAGTGCATAAGGGATGTATCTGTTATTATCCCATTTTACAGGAATAAATGCCTAACAAGGAACAGACATATATGGGAGATGGAGGACTGAATAGTGACTAAGCAGAACTGGGCAGAGATTCTGGATTGAAAAGGGAATAGGGCTGGGGATTTAGTTCAGTGGCACTCCACCTGCCTCACAAGCACAAGGTCCTGAGTTCCATCCCAGAGACCAAAAAAAAAAAAAAAAAAAAAAAAAAAACAAAAAAACGGGAATACCAAAGACATCTGTTCTTCAAACACACGTACACATTTACACACATGCTGCAGAATTGTTCCTGGAGTTCTAGCTCCTTAAAGGTAGAGAGAAGCGACAGAGGAAAAGGGGTGGGCAATGATCTGTACCACAATCAGATACAACGACCCAACTCCTTTATCCCTGAGGCCCCAGTACTGTCTACACCTTAAATTGCAGACCGAGGGGTGTGGCTCGAAGGTAGAGGCTTGCCTAGTAGGTGTGAAGTAACCTACCTGGCTTTCTGCACCATAAGATAAATAAGTTGTTTAATTAAACGCGGGGTGGGGGGTGTATATGTCTGTTGGCCATGGGCAGGCCTGTCTAAGGTCAAAGGGTAGAGATCAGAGGTGAAAAACATAACTCCCATTAAATCACAGGACACCACCCACAACACTCTGCATATGGGGGGCACTCCACTGTTTTCCACCTTACTGCCCACGCCTAGGGAAGCGCCCTAAGAATAAGCTGAATTTGGTGTATTCATTCTATCCCACCTACCCCTATGGCAGATTAGGTAACTCATTCCCAATCCCAAAGCCCCGCAGAGGCGAAGGGACTCACGATCATCTTCTTATAGAGACCATAGTGCAGGACGAGGCTATGGGTCAACGCCAGTCGATGGGGTTTCATAGGGTGCCCAGCTCCTAGGGGTGGGGAGAAGAGAGTTCCTCAGGGCCCACCCCTGGAGTCGCGCAGCCCTTGCCGCGAAATCTTTACATCCCGATCTCTTGCGAACAACCGCGTTCCCTCACCGTAGTGGAAGTTGCCCACGTCGGGGTCGTAGAAATAGGCCACAGTCTTGGCCATGGTGCCAGCGGGAGCAGGCCCCACGCCTCCACCAACCGCCGACCGACAGCCCCACCCCCAGTCCTGCGTGTTGCGCAAGCACGCAGAGGGCCTCAGCGGAACACGGAGTTTAGGCCCCGCCCCGAAACCACGCCTGGGCCACGCCCCCTGCGGGAGTTCCTCCCATAGCCTCGGCTGGCCTCTCCAGAGTCTGGGGCATGAGCCGCCGGGCTTCGGTGGAGAAAAGGTAGCCTGAGTCCTGGGATTTGAGCGCCATTTCTCTCCAGGAGGGGATCAAATCCTCGAGAAGCCGAGCTCTTCCCTCCAGCCGCTTGCGGGCGCAGGCCGTGGTCACCTCAGAATCCGCGAGGATCCGGCCACGCTGCCCTTCTCCGGGGCAGAGAGCCAGATTTCCTCAGCCGGCTGGGAAGACTCCGGACCAGCCTCTCGTCTGGGGTACCTGAGGGCAGGAGCTGTGGCAGACAGACCAGTGGAGGCCACCTCCTCCTGACCTCCTGTCCCCCACGCGGACCCAGACTCAGCGCCACACATCCTTTTCGGGGGGGGGGCCGGCGCGCTCACGCGCGCAACTCACTCGCGCTCGCACTCGCGCAAGGCTCTCGCTCCCTTCTCTGCACACCTGCGCTCCGCCCCTTAGTCCCGAGCTGGCGACTGGAAAACGCATTTGGGAATCCAGGGCGGCGGCCGAAGCACCCCCCAGCTCCTCCCTTTGCCAGGGCCGGAGTTATCCAGAGCCTGCCGCTTCTCCCAACCAGCCCGCATCCCCCGCCATCCTTCCCTCCCCCCGCCTGCCGCGGCGCCGGTATCCGCAGCCACAGCCGGAGCCGGTGAGGCGGCGAAGGGGGAGGGGGAGGAATCAAGGGATGAGCACCGGGAGGGCATCGGGGGCCCTGAGCCGGACTACGACGCCCCTGGAACCAGAATCGGAGCCGGAGCCGGAACCAAAGCGCCGGTCCCGGGTGGGCCAGGTGATCAGGGTGGGAGGGAACGAAAAGATGGGGAGGGATCTGGGAGTTCAGGGAGAGGAGGGGGCTGCAAGAGGCCTGGCTCCGGTGGATGTAGAGGAGGTGCGGGCGCTGACTCAGGCTCGATTTCTGCACTCGCCACCTGAGAATTTTGCCCCACACTGTGCTGCAGTGTCCTTGGGAGGGACTGAAGCGCGTGCTGAGCTGGAAGGGGTATTGGTCTGGGTGTCAGGGAAGTGGAACCAGTGTAGTGGCGGAGGGCTTGTGCAGCCTCCATCTGGCCTCCAGCCTTGGGCGGTCTTGGCCGACCAGCACCCTTGGCCCGGACAGCTCCCTCGTTGGGTAGGGGGTGGGGCCGGAGCACCCGCTGGGGATCCTGAAGATCGTGTTTGTACTCCTCCCCCAATCCCAGCTGCAGCCCCCTAAACCCAGGAGGCGCCCTGGCCCGCGCTCGCCCCCCAGGGCTTCATGTCGGAACCACAGCCTGTCCTGGAACCGCCCCAACATGGGCTATACATGCTCTTCCTGCTTGTGCTGGTCTTCTTCCTCATGGGCCTTGTAGGCTTCATGATCTGCCACGTGCTCAAGAAGAAAGGTTACCGCTGCCGCACCTCTAGGGCTTCGGAGCCTGATGACGCCCAGCTCCAGCCCCGTGAGTGAGAAGCCTGGAACCCTGGCTCAGTCACCTTTTTCCCTTATCCCTCTCCCTACACCTCTTTCTGCCTTTCTGGACAACAGATCTAGGCCAAATCCTGATCCAGCCTACAGGAAGCCTAGTGATGATTTTTTGAGTCAGTAAGTAGGGTGACACCCCTCTGAAAGAGGACAGAGAAGGCAGCATGGGCAGGAAGTGCTCACTGATGGTAGTGTTGGGCTCCCATTGACTTCCTTATCTTTTCTGGCCCCTGAAATGCTAAAGTCGAGCATGATGGCAAATAGGTAAAGGAGTATGTCTTGAGCAATGGGCCATGGGGGCTGTCAGGTCATGTTCCCCCAAAGCTGACTCATTTCCTGCTCCCTTGCCAACCTCTCTCATCCTTCAGCTGAGGACGATGACATGAATGAGGACACAGTAGAGAGGATTGTTCGCTGCATCATTCAAAATGAAGGTGGGTACTGGCTGACCCCTTGCTCCCTCCCACCATCCTGCTCTTGCCTCGATCTCTACCTCCACTGACTCCCTCTTTTCCTTCCCCCCCCTCAGCCAATGCTGAGGCCTTGAAGGAGATGCTGGGGGACAGTGAAGGAGAAGGGACAGTGCAGCTCTCCAGGTGAGCTGGAAACAGGGCCAGCATGACCTAGCTTGCCTTGGAGAGTAGTCTCTCCTCCAGCACAAGCCTCTCCCAGCCTCACTGCACACTTGGGTGGGAGAGGGCCAGGCTAGCTACCCTACAGGAAGAAGTTCTGGAGCAACCTCTAGTCCTTCAAACCACGTCTCCCATCCAGATATCATCAAGCCTAACAGTCACCTCTAGTGTCACTCTTTTCAGTTAAGCATTAACCTTTTTTTTTTTTTTTAATCAAACGGCTGGAAGGAAGGACAAATGGTCACTCACATCTTAATACTGAATTTATTAGATAAAGACAAAAGGATGTTGAGGCTGAGGGGAACACGGGGCTCCTGGAGGTTTAAAGAGCATGCTGAAAAGACAGAAGAAAACAGAAAACAGAAAGGAAATAGAAATATTTCTGTTCCCCTCTTCCCTACTGTCCAGTGTGGATGCCACCTCGGAAGGAAGGACAAATGGTCACTCACATCTTAATACTGAATTTATTAGATAAAGACAAAAGGATGTTGAGGCTGAGGGGAACACGGGGCTCCTGGAGGTTTAAAGAGCATGCTGAAAAGACAGAAGAAAACAGAAAACAGAAAGGAAATAGAAATATTTCTGTTCCCCTCTTCCCTACTGTCCAGTGTGGATGCCACCTCCAGCCTGCAAGATGGAGCCCCCTCCCATCATCACACAGTGCATCTGGGCTCTTCAGCCCCTTGCATCCACTGCAGCCGCAGTAAGAGGCCTCCACTTGTCCGTCAGGGCCGCTCCAAAGAAGGAAAAAGCCGCCCCCGAGCTGGGGAGACTACTGTATTCTCTGTGGGCAGGTGGGTCTAGGGAAATGCAGCTTGAAGTGGGGGCCACAGTGATCAAGCACCTGATCCCACAGGTGGGCCCCAGCTCCTTCCTTCTAGAGTGGGAGCCACAGCAAGGGTCAGGCTGTGCATTATGCTCCTGAGGTCTCCCCCAACCTACACCAGAGAGAAGTAGCCATCAAACCTAGAATGTCTCTAGTCAGAGGGGAGGGCCAGGCAGCCTCTGAGTTGTGGCCCTGAGCCCCTGTGTTCTCTCCCTCCCAGGTTCCGGGTGACACACATTGAGAAGCGCTATGGGCTACATGAGCATCGTGATGGTTCCCCCATAGACAGGAGCTGGGGCTCTGGTGGGGGGCAGGACCTAAAGGATAGTCAGGGGTCTGGGGGAGGCCAGCCCAAGGCAGGAATGCCTGCCATTGAGAGGCTGCCTCCTGAGGAGCTGCAGCCCCAGGCTCTAGCCAGCCCCCCAGTGCAGAATGGAGGACTCAGGGGCAGCAGTCTTATCCCTTGTGCACATGAGGGGAATCCTGGGACCTGTGCAGAGTCAACACTGGGGGCCAGAGGGAGAGACCAAAGCCCAAGGCTGCCCAGTCAAAGGGCAAATGAACAACCAAGCAAACTGGACATCTCAGATCAGCAGGTATGATGATGTGGCTAAGGCTGCAGTGGGCTCAGTTTTATTTTCCACTTCTTTGGGGATCACTGATAATGATCCACTTCTTGTTCCCATTGTTGACACCTCCCCTTTCTCCCAGGTGTCTCCACAGGATGAAGAAGGTATATGAGGTGAGTCTACCTGAGGCCCAATTCAGGTAATATTGTCCACTCACCTAAACTCCTTAAGCTTATCAGCTCTCAGCTCCCCGAACCCCCAGGGAGAAGTGCAGCCTTAGCCCGTGCTACAAATTCTTTGGCTGGTGGTGGGGAGTGGGTGTGTACTCTAGGGAAAAGTTGGGCTAGAGCTTGAACAGGAAGCAACACTGTTCCCCTTCCTCTCCTCCAAGCCTCTTCCTTCATTGTACTGATGGACTACCAGCGGGCAGGGCAAGGGGAAGAGTGGGCACGAAGGCTCTCCCCTTCGCTGGATGGCACTGCCCCCCAGTTGAGGTACCAGCTCTACTTCCATCTGGAGTTGCATGGTCTCAGCCTGGGGGACCATCGGAGAAGTTACCCACACTCCTGGTCCCAAATTCTTTTCCACGTCCCTTACCTGCCAATAGGCTACCTGGCCTGCCTTCCCCAACACCTCACCAGGCCCCTGCCCTCGGTGGGCCCCTAAAGCAATAGCACCTTAGGCATCCTGCCCTCTTGGCACAAGAGGTCCAGGCCCTGGCTTGGCCTTCATGCCCTTTATTCAGTGTCAATAAATCCGCTCAGACTATTACAGCTGCTCTGCATACTGGCTCCAGCTCCTTGTGACTCCCAAGGCTGCTCCTCTGCTCAACTCAAGCCCAGTGACCCTGGCATCCAGAGTGGGGTGGGCCACACAGCCAGAATGGAGACGGAGGCAGGCCAGAGCCACTCAAGACTTAGGAGGGAGGGTTCCAGCCCCAGAGATTTTGGGGTATTTCACCACCCTAGGGACAGGGCGATGGCAGAAGATGGGTAGTTTCAGCTCTAAAAATGGCAGGAGGACAATGGGGAAAAGGAGTGGATTCTGGCCCCAGAAAAGGGGAAAGGAGAAGCTTCTACTCCTGGAAGTGAGAGTAGACATGGTGGACATTCCACCTTGTGGCTCTGTTGCTCCAGATCATTGCGGGGGTGGTCTGAAAGCATGGAGATAGGGGCCGCAGCATTACTGGGGGGGGCAGTGATCCCATGGCCTTCAGGTGAAAGAATCTGGATGGCCAGGGTCCGGGGCTTTAGCTGGTGGAGGAGGTGGTGGCCGCACCTATGGGGAACACACAGTTAATGCTCTGAAGTCCTCCCTTGGAGTATCCCTGTCCATTCCCTCAGCCAAGCAGAGAAAACAGGACCAATTAGAACGACTCCTCTGTACACAACCTCTAGGACAGGGCCCTTACCGGCCTGAGTCGAGGAGCCATCAAGTCCAGGGGTCCAGGGCAGTCCAAGGCTTTGTCTGGAAACAAGAACCACAGCCAGTGTTTAGGCTTTGTTTTCAATGCTACCTTTCCAGCACTCTGGATAGTGACACTCCATAAATACTTGTTGGATTAACAAATAGTCACCAACCTGAGCCATAAACTCCATCAATCCATCCATCCTCAACAAGTATTTATTGGGCAACTGCTACATGATCAGCTTTGATCGAGGCACCAAAAAAGGCAGGTGAGATACACAATGCCCTCCCTCCCAATGCCTCTCAAGAACCCAATAATGAAACATCAAAAACACAATGGCCTGGGCACAATGCCACATGCCTATAAATCCTAGCTACTTGGAGCTTGGGGCAGGAGGATAGCAAGTTCAAAGCCAGCATGGGCAACTTAGCAAGACCCTGTTTGAAAATTTAAAAATAAAAGGGCTGACAATATAACTCAGTGGTAGAATGCCCCTGGGTTCAGCCCCAGAGCTGGGGTGGGGGTTGGGGGACAAACAAACACAGTGAATGTGTGAGTGCTAAGTCATTAAAAATGAATTAGGGTGCTGCATATGGTGGTGTCTCCAGGAGGGTCAGGGAGGGTGACTACAGAGGTTTTAGTAAAGGTGGATATTCCAAGAGGAAAAGGGGACAAGGGGGACTGGATGTAATTGAGTTGTAGAATTCTTGCCTAGCATGTGCAAGGTCCTGGGTTCCATCCTTAGCACCACAAAAACAACAACAAAAAAGTCATAAGGGAAAAGGAACACACAAACCTAGGCACTTGGATGGTCTAATGACACTATGAGCAAAGGATACATTTTGGGGGAATACAGAAAGAGCAGGTAGGTAATTTTTAAAACAATGATAAAAACAAACAAAAATAAAGCAATGATAAAACAGCTACTACTTGCATGCTTTACTATGTCCTAAGCACAATGCACTATAGGAATCTTTTAAAATTCATAATCATCCAATAAAGTAGTACCTTTGCCCTCACTTTATAAAGGAGGACCAGACAGGTTAAATATCCCACATCAAGTCACATACCAGGAAGTGACAGCAGGGTCTGAGCCAGGTCAGCCTGACTCCAAATCCCAAACTCCTGCATCAATCTGTAGTGGACCCGATTGCAAGGTACACTGAGGCCATGCAGAGAAGCAGAGTTCTGACCTGAAACTCCAAGATTCCTCCTCGCGATCTCTTATCCTTCTAGGGCCCCTAATTCCCTCTACTCACCCCCAGGAAGGACAGGTGCAGGAGCTCCATCCAAGGCAGTGGTGGGTGCAGGAGGGGAGAAGCTGGGAGGCGAAGGAGATGGCAGCATCTGGTACCAGGGTGGACAGAGAGTTATTCCTGGCACGTAGGAAACTTTTACTCACTCTTTTCTGTTTCGTTTTGTTTTTTGAGAAACGGTCCCACTTGTAGCTCAGGATGGCCTTAAACTCACAACCATCCTCTTGCCTCAACCTCCTGAGTCTGGGATTACAGACAGGTGTGTGCTACCACACCCAGCTCACCAGCTCTTTTCATCCCACCTTCAATTCCTGTCCCATCAATTCCCAATAGACGTGGCCAAATGCTTGTATTTACACAGGGGTTCACTCAATTTCATTCACACCCCATGAAACAAGTGTTTGTTTGTTTGTTTTTGAAGACAGTCTGGCTATATAGTTCAGGCTGGCCTTGAATTCACTATGTAGCCCAGGAGGGCCTGAACTCACTGCAATCCTCCTGCCTCAGCCTCCTGAGTGCTAGCATTACAGTGTGCCACCATGCTTGGCTGAGATAAGTATTTTTTATGACTCCTATATCAGAGGTGAGTTTCAGGTTAAGCCATCTGTCTGAGATCACAGTGTGATCAGGATGCTCCCTTCAGGCTGGGGAATCTAGCTCAGTGATACAGTGCATGCCTCACAAGTGCAAGGTCCTAAGTTCAATCCCTGGTATCAGAAAAACAAAAAAATGCTGGCTTCTAGACATGCACCTCCTAATTCCCAGTCCTAATTTCTCCCTGTTGTTGTCATGACGATAGCATCATAATTTAAGTACCTCCTATGACCCACAGGGCTAAGAACTCTACCCTTATTATTTCTAGTCATCATAGTGAGCCTGCTAAGGCAGGAATTACCTCCATTTTATGCATGAAGAAACAAGCTCAGAGAGTCACTGCCCAAGGTCATGCAGTAGAAACGTGAACTCAGGTCAGTTTAGCACTAAAGTCACCTAAACTACAAAGAGTGTCTTGGTTTCCCCTTTCTCTGCTCAGCCGAAGGAGATGGGAAAGTCCAATCCATCATAGGAGATAAACTTGGGCCTTACTAGAGTGAAAGGTTCAACTCAGAGGTACCTGGGAACACAGGGAGAATGAAGCCTCACCTGTTCAGGATCAGAGAGTTCAGAGGAGCCAGGAGGGCCAAGTAGCTCCTCCACGAGCAAGGAAGGGAAGACCCCAACATGGCCCCCAAATTCTCCCCGCCAGAAGCCATCATCCACTCCATCCTGGGCCCGGGGCAGCAGGCGGATGAGCGCGCCCTCAGGGAAGCTCAATTCTTCTTCACTTTGGCCAGTGTAGCTGTACAGGGCTTGGGCCAGGAATGCTTCAGAAGCCCAGAAGAAATAGTGAAAAAAGGAGTAAGATGGTAGTACCCTAGATCCGTGATACCCCAGGACTATAAGCACATAACAATTTTTCTCCATATCCAGGGTCGCTGAACCCAGAACTTCCTTTTCTTACCTGTGGGCTCTGCCCCTGAGAGATTGTCATTGTCATGCCTGCTCTCAGGAAGGGAGAGATCCGGGAAGTTGAGATACCGCTCAGGGACAAAGCCTACTTCACCATGCTGGTTCCGAGCCTGCTCACCCAGCAACATGAATGGACATCAGACTTGCCTCAGTAGTCCACAGCCCTGGCTCTTCTCCATTCAGGCTTCTAGCTTTGCCTGGATGGGTCATTCTTTGGGGGCCATCAAGAAGTCCTCCCACTGCCCCCAACCCAAGGTCAGAATCAGGGTCCCATACGCACCTTGACCCATTCATCAGCATCTCCCTCCTCTATGACCTCCAGCCACTCACCCTCTGTGATGGTCAACTCATCCTCCTGGCCTGCCTAAAAGCCCCACAAGGAAGGATTCACAATTTCGCTATCGCCTACTGTTGCCCAGTCTAAAGTCCCCAATCCCATTCAGACCTGATAGCCAAACACCACATGTGCAGGGCAGGGGAGGGGCCTGGTGGCCAGGGCTGGTGGGGCAGGCTCTTCAAAGAGCTCCCCTGTCTCCTCACATTCATCGAAGTCAGAAAGCTCAGCATCCTCAGCCTGGAGGACAGAGGACACGTGATTATGGGGCCTCACTCCTCCATTCGACCCCTTAAGGACACTAGGAATCCCCCTTCAAGGCAGAATCCCCCAGCCAACCGCCATGTCTCACAACCAAAATCACCATAGGGCAGGATCATATTAAATAATAGTAACCGAGTGCTCAATATGTGTCCAGTACAACATTAAGCATGTTATGTCTATTACTGCATTTACTCTTCATAATTACCCAGTATTATTTTGCATTATCATTTTACTTTTGAAACCAGTAAGTGGAGTGGCTGGTAATAAAATCACTTAGCTTCCAGAACCTGGGTTTTGAACCGTCACATCCTAATGAAAGTTTCCTGAGGACTTTCTGTGCCAGAAACTATGCAAATACCTTACACAAATCATCTCAGGGAAGCCCTGTAAGTTAGGTGCTGCTCTGATTCCCATTTTAGAGGGTGTGTCTTCTACTGGGGAGTTGTGCCCCCCTGGGTGTGTATGGCTGGGGTGGGAGAGCATTCACCGTAGGAGAGAGATCCCTCTGGGACAGCCGAGCCTCACTAAGCCGTCGTTCCTGTTCCACCTCATCCTGGGCCTGGGTCATGGCTGGCTTCAGCCAGTGCTGCACATCCAGGCCAGCCCCCTGCAGTAGAGCCAGCCGGGCAGCCCCCTTCACCTGGCTCACCTGGAATGAGAAGGAAGGGAGTTGGTGGAGCCTGGCCAACTGTCCACCCTCTGGTTCCCCCCATTCCTCCCATCCGAAAGAGGAGAGGGCTCCCAAAGGAGGGATCTCAGTAGCTCTAAGCCCAGGGCTGAGCCTCACCTGTGCTCGCCGAATGCTGTCCCTCACTTCCTGAAGCCGTTGCTCTATGCCTGGAGCCTCGCGCTCTGGAGCCTGCTGCCGCCTCTGCTCTAGACGCTGTAGCACCTGATGGGGAAGAGGGAGGCAGGTATGGCCACAGTGGACCAGAACTTATTCTGGGCCTGGTACTTTGCTAGCTGAATCACTTGCATTGTCATGTAACCATCCCTATAAAGTGGGTGTTACTATTGGCCTCATTTTAGCGATGAGGAAACTGAAGTCCAGAGAGGTGAAGTCACTTCCATACTCAAAGTTATAGAACTTGATGGTAACAGAAGACAATTTAAACCCAGGTTAGTCTAGCTCCAAATGCTGTGCCCTTCACCACTGTGTGCTGCTGTGTCGAAACACCCTTCCCTCCCTTCCTATCTGCAGCACCGTGATATCCCAAGGAGTCCAGGGATCCCCATCCCTCAGCATTTCTTGTCCACCCACAACATCCGCACCCCCACCTCACCCGATGTCCGTGGTGCTGGATCTTGTAGTCACGGGCAGCTCGGCTCGTCCAGCGCTGAATCTCTTTCTCTAGGCCACTCCTCCCAGCCACGCCTTCTGCTCCCTCTTCCAGCACACACACCTGAATAGGATGGATGTGCTGTGAGGACAACCTGAGATTGTGCCTCTTCTCCGATTCCCTTCTTCTCTCTTTTGTCTTGACCTCTAAGGACAGGGACAGAGGTGGGCGCACATGCCTATGTCTATGGACACAGACATATACAGATGTGTGGGCCCACAGAGTCCCAGGAGTGGGATCCCAGGAGATTAACAGGGATGGATTGGAAAGGATAGTGCAATAAACAGCCTGAATGGTGAGCTAAGGTATGTTTGTGTGTCATGGTGGGAGGGAGAGAACTGGAATTCTTTCTCCAAGGTTCAGTAGCAGACGAGTTAACACAGGGTGGGAGGGCTAGGTCATAGTTTTGCTTATATTTGGCCTTGTTCCAACAATCAGGATGTCTCACCTGATCGGCTCCAGCTGGCTGAAACTGCTGAGGTGGGGTTGGGGAAAACACTTCAGGCTCCTGAAGAAATAGCTTCACATCGTGTTCCCAATTTACCTGAGGCAGAAAAAGGCATGAGCACCCACCCACAGGCCCCCTCTCCAACCCTGTCCCCAGTACCTCATCAAGGAAAGAGGGCAAGGTGCAAAGGAAAGGAGCGGACATACATGAGGAGAAAAGAATGGCGAGGCTCTCTAGGGGAGTTCACCTGGGAAGTGGCCTGCCCCCCATGGCGGGCATGCTCCAGGACCATCTCGGCAGCTTCCAGCTCAGTGTGGCTCAGTAAGGTCAGGGGGTCCCTCAAGTGTTCTGACAGCTCACTGGCCAGGGCCTGAAGAGAAAACCAGGATACTGACGCCAACCCTCCTCCAGGCCTCTACCGCAAGGCAGAGTCTCTGTGCAAGGTCTGGGTGAGGGATGGACATGAAAGCTGGGAAAGACGGAAGGAGTAAGACATTATTACTACTTCTGATGTAGGCCTCATGTATGTACACCACTTAACTTACTGTATAGTGCTGGGGATGGAACCCAGGGCCTTGTACATGCTAGGCAAGTGCTCTACCACAGAGCTACACCACAACCCCACTTAACAGTTTAAAAAACACTCTTACATCCATTCTCTTCTTTTGAACCTCATTGATGTATGAGGTAGGCAGAACTGGGGTTAACCTTGATGAGGAATGTGGGGCTCAGAGGGGTTAAGTGCATGCATGGTGTCACACAGACAGCTAGAATGAGAACAAGAACCAAGTATGCATCTTCTATCCACTCTAAGCAAGCTACTCAGGAGCATCAGCCAGGCTCATGGGAATGGCCCTCCCGCTTGTGAGAGGCAGGGGTAATCCAAGTTAGGACTGACTTTGAGCAGGGCTGGCAGTTCCTCCTTGTAGTAGTGGTCAAGGTGGGCGTTCATGGCTACCAAGTTGAGCAGGTATTCATTGCGGGCTGTTCTCAGCTGCTGGGAATAATGGGCTGACTGGGCAGATAGCTAAGAGGGGGAAAGAGTTGTCAACAGGACCCTTAGGCCCAAGCCCAACCAAACCCAGATCCAGCATGGGTTCCCACATTATTGAATACTCACTAGGTGCTTGGCACTATACTAAAAATGTCACATACAACTCATATTCAAAATATTATACTGTAGGCATATTTAACCCAAAGCCTGCAAGCCACATGCAGCCCCAAATAGCTAGTCATGTTACTCTATAATATTGCAAACCTTTAGCATTATTTTATGGTTTCTATCAATATTTTTCATCACTCACAGCATGGTGCTCTAGAATAGGCAACAACAATGGAATGCTGTCTAGGGGAGGGCACAGTGCAGTACTAATTCTGCCTCCCATGCCCGCCACACAGTCAGTACATTTGTGAACAACTGCTGTCAAAGATGAAGCATTCGAAGAGTAAAAGTAAACCCCAAATTTCTTTACAATTTTTTGGTACCAGGGATCAAACTCAGGACCCTGTGCTTGCAAGGCAGGTGTGGTGACAGAGCTAAATCCCTTGCCCAACCCCAAATTTCTGATGAGCACCTTAAGAACTCATTAAGAGTTGTAACCACTGTCATCAAACCAAACACTGAAACATCAGTTTCACAAAAGCAAGGTTAAGGGCCATCCCTTAACTATCCATTAATTTTATGTTTATGGAAGCTTTGTTACTTATATATGTTAACTATATATATTTAATATGCAGAGTTCCTCTTCACTCAGTGTGGCCAAGGCAAGTTGAAAGACTGGACACTCGTACTCTAGTGGCTTCCACATACATCTAAAACAAAGTCCAAAATGTTCCTAACAGTGATTTAGCAGGTCTGACATAAGCTGGCCCCGTAACCTCTTTTAATTGCTTGTCCCTCTGTTCACAGTGCTCCAAGCACCCTGGCCTTCTCTCAGTTCCTTGACTCTTCAAAGTTATTTCCACCTCAGGGCCTTTGCATTCGCCATTTTCCTCTCCCTGGATGTTCTTCCCCCTCCTATTATTATTATTATTATTATTTTATTATTTTGGTCCCCTCCCTTTTTTTTTTTTTTTTTTTTTT